TTAAAAAAATAAAGGGAACAGTAACCCTTATCCCACTCGACTTCAACAATAGGGGTTCTCAAAGTAGACCCGGTTTGTAAAAACCCGGTTGACCCAGTTGACTTTTTGGCTGTGATCTGTCAAAAAATGTCAACTCGATACACAAACTAATATATATAACCTTTCTCCTATTGATCTTTTACTTTAGGTCTAGAACTAACGATTAAAAAAAACACGGACCACTCGAATCAATCTCGAGGAATACACTTAGACAAAACACTCAAGAACACAACAAAGAACACTTTAGATCGATTCGATTCGATCCTCCACACAAGATGAACCAACTCCCTTCCTCTCCTCCTCAACTAGCCTCCCTTTTATACCTTTCCACCCTCATAACTCCGACCGATTCTTCTTGTTCCACTTGATCGACTCCGACCGATTCTTTACTTCGCTCCGACCGATTTTCTTTTAACTCCTTCCCTTTTCACACCTCTAATCGACGGATCTGTTTGTTAATTAACCCCTATTCGACTCGATCATTTGGTTTTAACACCCAGGTATGTTGCTTTTGTTTGGTTTCCTTTTCTTCTTTTGTTTTGTTTACTGACTTCTTGAATTCTTTATCTCCTCCCTTTATTTTTATTTCGATCTTGATCTTTTATTTCAATTCCTTCAATTCAATCATTCTCTTCTTCTCAAAATTTTACCTCCGACCGATTCCAATTATGTAGTAAGTTATTCTTATTTTCGATTTTTCTTGTTGATCTAGTTATTGAATTGGCTGTACTCTTGGCCTTCTAGAACCTCCTAGATTGATCAATAGGTTTCTTTTCAATTTGATTAATTCTGTACCTCTGATTGATATCTTTCAAGTGAAATGTTCCATTGTGAGTAACTCATGTTTCATGTTTTGTGTTTCTTCTTCTAGTTCTTGTTGATTTCATAGTAACTAAAAGTACTTTTATTTCATTTTCTTGGTGGTTTGTTTAAGCTGGACCAAAAGGGTTGAGTAAGACTTTAATTTGTGTTTTGATTTGATGTTGTCTACTTTTTTTTTTTATAATCTAGAAATTGCTTCCTGATTGTCTTGACTTGAGTAAACTGAAATGAAGTAAAAGTATATGTATATAAAAAATGATCTAAAAGAAAATGCAAAAAAACTGTGTTGATAACATAATGATCTCAAAAATAAGATATTTAAAAGAAATGAACTATGAATTTGAAGATAGTCTTCTTGAATAAAATGAAACTTTGAATTTTAAAGCAAAATGAGGTGTTTATAAGATCTGTAAGGTAGACATCTTTTGATTTCCACAGCGGTACTCAAAATGAGTCCCTCGGACCGCGCGCCCAGATTATGAGCGTGAGTAGCTCAAACCTGCATCCCTGGGACAGACCCCCAAACCCGGAATGCAAATTCTGTACGCGCGGTTCTCTGTACTCAATTTTTCAGTAACTCTCATCCAGTTCTGACAAAATGGCTGTGTTCCCAGATCCTTTGGAGGTACACAGAGGTACATTTATGACACCACGGGCCTCTATTAGGTTCAATCAGGGATGCAGGTTTGAGCTACTCACGCTCATAATCTGGGCGCGCGGTCCGAGGGACTCATTTTGAGTACCGCACGATGTAGTGACAACCTAGAGTACAATGCTCTGGCTGTATGTAATAGTAGCGGTCCAATGAGGACGGGACTCATTATCGCCCCGTCTGCGAGTCCTAGGCGCAGTGACCGACTCACCAAATAAGCAAACTCACGCGGCATACTGCTCTGAGTGAGTAGATTCACATATGCTCAGGCGGCGAGTGCTCACTGCTCGTATGAGCACTCACCCAGCGGGCGTAAACTACAAATGGTAATGTAGCACTCCAGTTCAAGCGGACTCTTGCAAATGTGGGTATCTAATGCTCGTATTTGACTAACAACAGTGGTCTTCTTCTTTTGAGTCGAGCTGGGAACCGAGGAGGTTGTTACAGGGTCTTGAGTAAAGTCAAAAGGATTATATTCTTCTTCAGTAAGCCCGTGGACGTCCAAAGAAGCTTGTTTGACGGTAGAGTTCGTAGTACTTCTGTTGGGCGATTCCTCGGGCCTATAGTTGACTTCGTTGGAAGGCAGCTCGTCCGGCTCAAAAGAAGAGCATGTCTCGGCGAGTCCGGCCTCCTCATATGCGGCGATATCTGCTTTGGTCAACTCGCCCATCCCCTCCAAAAAATCCTTGGCGACCAGATTAACAACATGACACATACAACCATGAAATTGAGAATCGAAAGGCCAGTGGATCCCGATTTGCCTATAACGGTCTCCTAGAAGGCGTACCATGGCACGGTTGGACGAAGCGTTGGCTCCGGTGACCGAATAATGATTACGTAGTGCCCCGACGTGTTCGAGCGCCTCCCAATACACTTGGGCTAGATTTTCACCCGTGTGTGTTCCTTTCAGAGTCTGTCAGAAGGAAAACGATTTGAATTAGCAAACGAGGGATTGGATAACATTAATACAAGAAAAAACAATACCTTGAAAGCAAGGAGTCGACGACAGAAGAGACCCTTGGAATTGAAAAAGAAACCATTAATTGCCATGTAAGTGTGAGAATAGTCGGCTGAGGTCCAGCAATCAGTGGCCGTCGAGATGGAACCAGGGACTCGTGCGATTTTGGCTATCAGTCTTGCTTCCAAGTCGACGAACAGCGCCTCTGAGTCCGATTTAATGGACATCCGTCCGGGAAAACAAAAGCCGGGGCAGATTGCACGCAAGGCAGACTGCATAAGGTCGCCTTCAAAGATGGTGAAAGGCAGGTTCTTGCTGATCACCGCGCCTACAATGAGAGTCCTAAGCTGCTTGTGCCGCTCGGCGGCGACCAGCGGATCCTTGTTAGGAGCAATACTTCCTGGCAATCGATTCATCCACGCCTCTGGAAGTCCAGGACACTTGCGGCAATGTTTGTGTAGGCCCGAGTTGGGACGTCCAGTAATCTGGACGTCCATCCTGTGAGAATCGGTGGTAAGCCCAAAGCACGTGGGAGTCCAAAGTCCTAGAGATACTAACGGGCAATGGAGGCAGGAATACCACTTTGAGTCGTCCCCGTTTGTGACGTCAGGCGAAGCCTTCAGATCCTAATGGAACAAAGACAGTGACATTGTTAGTGAGAGTGATTTTACCTAATTAGATAGCCTTATATAGAAATACATCAAGTGAAATATATCTTACATCATAATAGAGGTACACATCAGATCGATTTTTGCCTGTGCTCAATACGGTGTCTTCAACCTCTTCATCGTCTTGATTCGTAATCGTGATGCGTTGACTACCGGGTTGTGAGAAAACCCCAGATCCACTAGCAGGACGACTGGCGGTTGTGACACGAGAGTTAGACGCAGACAAGACACGAGGAGTAGACGTAGCGGTCGTTGTACCGCGACGGGCGTAAGGAGACAGGGCTGGAGTAGATTTAGATTGAACTTTAGGCATGCTTTCAAAATATTGAACTGGTCTGAGGGAGATTGAAAATAAACCGATGAAAATGAGCAGGAAGAGAGACGTGAAGGAGCGGTTAGTAACAGCTGAGACGTGATTAATAGGATCCTTCGTACTCACCGTGCGTCCAATACCCAATCAAGGTTGCCTAACGCCTTCATATCCAAGTTGACCCACGCTAGCGCAGGCAGCCACATTACAATGTGGCTACCAGCGCTATCTGGTGCCATGAGTCCCATTTCGATCGAGACAATCCAAAAATCTAGATCCAAGGCGTATATAGACGAAGTCAACAGTTCCTTGGGGCTTGATAAGTGGGGTAGTGAGAATCCAGATAAGTTAGATTGTTACTTGAGGCTGAAGATATGATCAAGACTCTTCTGAAAGGTGGAGAGAGGTCATGAAATAGGGTGGACTCGTGGAGGACTGAATGAAGAAAGGCGTGAAAGTCAAATCTTGAAAGAGGGGATAACCAAAATCGTACGTTGGTTGTTTGGAAATTGTCAGTTGGTTGTTTGGATGCGTGTCCGATATCGTAGGTTCCTTGTTTGGATGAGTATACAATGAGCGTACTCATCCAAACATGGTGCGCGCGGGTTAGATCGAGATATGAGTTGGGGGCGCCAAATTTGGAGGAGCCCTTGAGTACCAGGCCTCAGTACTCACATACATGTGAGTACTGCAGGTCCCTGTACTCACATGTGTGTTCCGATCGGGAGCATGTGCTCCCGATCGGGGCTAAGATTCACACAAACCGAATCCTTCACCGACACAGAAATAAAAAGACTCGGCCACAAGCCCCAACCGAAAAAACACCTCAAGTCCATCGTGTATGCCAGGCAGCAGGCAGTGTACTCTTTTTTAGTTCGTAGTTGACCATGCCTACATTATGAGACTCAAACCAATGCTTTCCGGTGAGTAGTTTCATGATTGATCTTATTTATGAAAACAACAATTATAACGATGAGATATGTACCCGGTCAGCCCGTCAGATAATTATTGCCTTGAGTTTCAATGAGTCACCCAGGGTAACCGAAGCACGTACCAGACAGGTGTGGTTTTATCATTTTCTCTTTCCTATGGGGTAAATATTGTTCCTGGTATCGACTAAGAGAAGTAGTGCAATCAACTTCAGCTGGTATTGGGTACGATTATTTTCAACTCGTCCTTAGTTTATTGAGCTGAATTGAGCACCTCGCGCGGTTGCATTCGTCGCGGCCGCACGAGGGGCTTAGTCAAGAGGTTTTGAACTTGACACCATACTTGTCACATTATTCTTGTTATTGAGAATGAAGAATCTCAAACTGCGAGGATATAAGTGTAGACTCCATCCACGTGCAGCTGCAATGAAGTTTCCCATAAACAGTCTTCTTGTTAAAAAACACTTTATACGCTATACGCTGGGAAGAAGGGAAAGCCATGTTGAAATCTTATATAATCCATTCGTTCTTAGCCGTGAGCCTTTCGACGACCTTCGATGTAGCACAGCCAAAGTTGTCTCCACTACACGGAGATTTGGTACCGGATGTATCAACTCACACAATGGCTTCAGAAGAGGTTCCACATTTGTTCCCCTCTATGCTAGAGGAGCAAAACTCATTAACCCTGAAGGATCGGGTCTCAGGTTCATCAACTCAAAATCTAGACCCATCGACATCAAGAGTAGGATCGCCAAAGCTATTAGACGAGAATATTGGACACGGTTCAAAGACTTCAGGAGAGCGTCTAGAATTTTCAACTCAATTCCGAGACCCGCGTTCAGAGGATGTTTCAGATCACTTGACCTCCGGATTAGAGTACCCGAAGCGATCGAGAGCATCGAGTGGAATAGAGGTTGGAAAACTCGCCAACTCTGAGAAAGAGCTGATAAATTTCTCAACTCACCAGGAAAATCTACCAGGTTTGAATCCTTTCGCATAAGTCACAACCATTTTTTTCAACATCAAAACTGACTTTCATATTTAAATTCTGAAGATGCTTTGAAAAGAACTCATGACAACTTCAAGATAGCTCTAATGAACACCGATAATCTTTATGTTTTTTTGTCGCAAGAGTGTTTCAGGAACAAAAAGCACTGGTCTCCATATTCACGAGAGTGGTCAAAATCGCTGAGCCCCTACAAGAATTTTATGAAAAATATTGGTGATGTCATGATGAAAAACCAAGAGGAAAATATGGCGGAGTTTCTTTTGTCAATTGCACGCCTTCGCGCTAACGGTTTCGAAAATTTTTCAATATCTAAAAGATTCAAGTTCAAAAATTATAATGAGGAAATCATCGACTCCTTGGGATTGGGTTGTGAAGCACTCAAAGGCAAGACATCAGTCTATTTGAATAGACTTCGTGTTATAGGCATTATCCAGTATCTCAAGGACTATTTGCCTCAGAACTCAAAATCTCTGGAAGACGGATTTGCCCAACACAGCTTAAGCTTCCAGACTGCTTTAGAGCTCTTCTTCACCCGTGGTGCGTATGGGACACTGAGAGATTGTATGCTTTGTGAACACTGAAATGGTATCTATCGATTTCAGATCATCGCAAAGCTCTGGCAGCTGAGATAGAATCCCATTTCACCAAGCGGCTTGAGCGGAAATCCCCCGGTAAGTGTTCTGATTTTGCGGAACTTGATCGTGTTAACTAAGTCGGCAATTTTAACAGATGTTAGGGAATGTTTTGATCGCGCTGCTTTCATGTCACGCCATGAAGATTCTATAAAAGAAGGTCTTTCGCGGGACTACCCACAGGGAATCCATGTTTTGACCTCGCGCTACTTGTTGGGAAATCGACTTCCTAAGGATGAAGGGACGATCAAAAAATTCACATCAGAGCTTAGAAACTTGATAGCCGGAAACACACTGAGTGGCGAAGACGCAACTTATGCCAATGCTATGATAGCCTACTTGTGGAGATTTCCCGAGTACAGAGGAGAGATTGTCCAGTTGTTAACCCATGAGAAGTTCATGACAAATTTCTTGAAGCCAAAGGCACAAGAAGCAATCAAATTATTCTTGGAAAATAGGGACCATCATGTTGAATCAGGTAGAAAGGCGTATACTCTTGCTTTAGGCCTGTTAGAAGATAAATTACCGCCAACCGATAACTTGATTCAAACAATTTTAGACGCAATGAAATCCGACCCGCTTGACATGAGCGAAAAGGTAGAATTACTTCATCTCCTCAATGCGAGGTTTGTGATCCGGCCAGAATCGAGGCCTATGCTGTTTGACAAAATTTACCGTGATCAAACTGATCTTCACGTGGCGGAAGTCTGGAGTTACATCGGTTCGCAGCAGCCGATATTTCAAACCCCATTGGATGACCTTGATGCGATGGTGTTCAGATTACGTGAGTTATTTTGAAGTTCAATGAGTCGAAAAAAGATGCGATTCTGATCACAGTGCGCTCCAGATCCTGCGCTATTGACATCCTCATTCAGAAGAGCACTGGGTGCAAAATTACGAGCTCAAGAAAATGAGGATATGAAATTGGTTGGTCAATCTTTGGCAAACCTTCCACGCCTTGATCACCAAGAAGCACTACCAAAATCACAGGCTCTTTATGATCAGATGGAATCTATTCTATCAAGTGTAGCAGACGCACGCCAACATTTCGGATGCTTCGAAGTCTATCTACACTTATTGTGGTACAATCCACAATTTGCTACTCAACTTATCACATCGATGGTCCACAAAGACTACCTCAACGATAACATACTCTTCTTTGCAAATAAAGTCCTTGGTAAGACGGCAGACACTTCAGGTATTGCAAGGGAACAATTAACAATCTTCTCAACGATCTTGAAGAAAGTGAGTCTCGCCAGACAGTTTGCCAGTATCCCACATCGATCCTGAAACTATTCAAATCTTTTTATTGTGCTACAGATCCATTGGGAAATTCAGGATTTTAGATCAGACGCATCCGCAGGAGAAAGCCAGGGGCTTCCTCAACGTGAAGCCAAAGCAATTCAGTCGTGGGCCCAACAATTGTCCCCAATAACGCCCATATGATGTCATGGTAAATCTACTCCCATTTCTGACAAGATCTACGCTCATAAATTGCTTTACATTTGTTTTTTGTCATTTTCAACCTCATGTGGATCAATGAGTTGTCTTGTTTTCTGCAATATTGAATTTAATAATGTTTCTTGACAAGTTTACTCTTTTTGAAAAAACTTGATATTCATTTCTGTTCACAATACAACTAGCTACCTTGCTAGGAAATTCTAGCACCAAATGTAGAGAGGGCATTGGATGATACAAGGGTGTATATCATACAATACACTTGATCAATACATTACACACAGGGATTTTATTTAGCTTTTTCTTTCTTCACAATGAAGAAGATACATACAATGCTCTTGGTGATTCTAATGTTTGCAAGTGAAACTAGACAAAAAACTCAATGATCTTTAGACCAAAGGTATTTCAGAGAAGACTCCTAGAACTGCCAATATCAGATTTGTATCACATGCTTTACCTATTTAAATTTTCACCAAGGAGATCTCTCTGCCTTGGTGTGATTGAACAGGTATGTTATGGGATGGTCCACTCAAGTGAGCTATGTAATATCACAACACATAGCATTTCTCTTCTATCTTGCACTTTTATTCTTATTTTACTTACATTGAGGGTACTCAAAGTAAGTATGTGGTGCTATATACTTTTGTTTGGCGGGGAAAAAGAAACCAATATACTTTTGGCCTCATTTTCCACACACAAAAAAGTATATAGCAGAATGTATACACGTACACACTTACTTTGAGTACCCTAATTGTACAATTGTTTGAGATTTGATATCATGATATCATGTTTTTGAGTTCTGATAAAAGGTTTGTCATAATTAAGTTATTGAGGTTTGAAAAAAACACAGATGATAAATACTATTCTTATACTATAAGACTCAGATCTTGAATATCTTCCATCTTCATTGATATCCATATAATTTGTGATTGGTATTCCTCTCTGCTGTTTCCCCACAGTTTTTCCCTACACTACAGGTCGACGAGTTGACAGGTGCAATATTGCGCCAACATCCTCACAAATCACATCACACAAATATTGTTTCAAATCACATTGTGCGGTGATCAAAACAATATTTGTGCAATGTGCTTTGTGCCCTGGCTGTCAAAGATACAACACACAGGAGTGAAGCATGGGACATGTACCACACCTTGCTCATGCCTTGGCAGGAGTCTGAAAGTTATTAAGAGATGGGTTTCTCAAGCAAGGTTTTGATAAAGGCACCAGCTCAACAAAGGATTCTACCTAAACTTAAGAATTCCTCTCAAGTATTGATTCTTCTTTCAAGTCCATATCATACATAAGCATTTGCTCTTAATGGTCAGGGAACTCAATTTCTTAAGCTGATCAAGTTCTTCTACAATTTGAATCCATTCGCCACAGTTGACTTGAAATTTTCATTGGCAGCCTGTACTTTGCCCTACCACACTGTTTGTATCAAATATGATAAGCTGAAGGTCTTCTGATCCTGGAAGAAGTGAATCTCTGTGCGGTTGAGCATTCCAATCAGGCAAGGGTTTTGGCTTGATGGTGGAGCAGAATTTTGTGTTTGAAACTCGCTTTTGGCAACTGATTTTGCTGATTTCCCCAAAGTTCCATTTTATGTGTTCATTCAATACATTTGAATACTGGTATCCCAGTCTTTGCGGGACCAATTTGACACACATCGCTCTGATCTCAAAAGATATTGCTCCAATGTCTTTCATGAACATTGGGGCAATATCATTTGTGACAATGACGGGCAGACATTGGCCACACATCTGACCAATATCACAAAACATGATAACAGACCAATATCAAGTTTGGACTGTAGCGTACACAGTCTTCCTCTACGGGCAGTATTTATATATGTAATTGTTATTTGTATATATAGAGGTTTGATTCTCTGAAATTCTTTGCTGTTGAGGAAAATTGTGAGTAAATGAAGGGCAAGAAAACATTCTCAAATTGACTGATATACATGTACACAGTATTTTCCAAAAATGAATTCCACAAATGCACATAAAATTTTCAAATCTTGGTCAAAAGACCCGCTTCTAAGCCCATTAGAAAGCCAGAGTCTCTCTCTAAATGACTTAATGATGAGTCAAGGCTTCATCTTCTCTCACAAAGCATCTATTGTCACTTTGAGTCATCTTCTACAAAGCCACATAGATGCTTTGTAAAGCTAGAAACTGCCCTGTCACTTCAATGAAGGATCTGGAGACAGAGTTCAGCTTTCTAATGAACCAATAATTGAGTGTTTTCTTGCCAATTGCCAATTTTATAAGCATTTGTAGGTTTCAAATTGTCCTCTCCAATCCAAGGAACCAAATTTCAGCCTCTGTTGTAGGTGTACATCTGATGAATTTGTTAGTACATTCAACAATATGCCGTCTAAAAATACAAAAAAACTAGCCCAATTGAGCGGCAGGCGCCGCACTCATCAGAAGAGTACTGGTGAAGAAGAGCTCATCTTAGATCAAATTTCAAAGAATGCTGGATGCTATGC